GTGGCCTTTTATTGTGGCCAGCCTAAGGCACACCTGTGCAATAATCATGCTGTCTAATCAGCATCTTGATATGCCACACCTGTGAGGTGGATGGATTATCTCGGCAAAGGAGAAGTGCTCACTAACACAGATTTAGACAGATTTGTGAACAATATTTGAGAAAAATAGGCCTTTTGTGTACATAGAAAAAGTCTTAGATCTTTGCTCATGAAAAATGGGGGCAAAAACAAAAGTGTTGCGTTTTTAATTTTGTTCAGTGTAATTAGCAGAATATCCTGCTATTTATAATATCTGCTATATAGTATAAATAGAATCTATAGCTATTTGCACTTAGTGTAAATAGCATATGATATCACTAAAAAATGCTGCTATTTTCACTTAGTGGAAATAGCCTCTATGCCCCCCACCCCCCCAAAACATCCTCCTGCACCCCTGCTGATTTGTACACTTCTGTGCTGTAGTCGTGAACAGCTCAGTGTTTTTAAGTTAATCTTTTAAGTGAATGAATCGTTCTCATTCGCTGACTCTCTTCATAGACAAAATAATTGATCTGCTTTGTTGCTATTTGTTGAAAATGCTTTTGGTACTCATTATTGCTGGTAAATAGTGGTGATACTAAAACTATTTCTTGAGTTTGTTAGTAAGCTTGTACACATGCACATTTTATTAAATATAATAAAAGTGTTTGGTTGTACATGAAATGTTTCACTGCATGTTCAAACTGCTCTTTTCCATTTAATGAAAGTTATACAGCTTGTATACTATATTCAAAGACTCTAGAAGTAATACAACAACTATGTGTGAGGAACAGACTGAAATTGAAATCAAATATGGTGCCATTAGACTCATGACTTAAATTTTAGTCACAGCATAGGGACTGTGAGTAAAAGAGCAAGACTAAATTATCTTGAATGATGCATTTTCTCTTTTGAGTGAACGGTCTCTTTAAACAGCACAAACCATTACCAGCAATAAATGATGGTGTGTTTCATGATGTGCAGAGGGATGTGTTTAGACAAATGCTGTTGCTATTATGATTCTGAATGTTGAATCGCTGCTGCATTTAGACTCCAGTAATGTTCAGATGAAGATCGGTCACAGCTGTAGAGCTTCATCTCCTTCTGTTTGACGTGTCTGTATTTTCCCCACAGATGAAGAGTATGATAAGCAGACGTGTTTTTATCTCTGGAACTTCAGCAAACCGAAAGGCAACAGCGACAAGGAACCCAAACTCCATTAGTGACACAAATGCATTTTTGTCCTTATGTTCCTGTCTGACCTGCTGCACAACATACCGAAAGATGATCAGAAACTGATTCACCTTCTTAAAACACTCACCAGGAAGAGACTCATTATTTCACTCATTTCTGTCCAACTGATGCCTTTTTCAATTCTGGACAAAATCATAAAGAAATCAGAGATCAGTGAAGAATTAAGAGAAACACTTTTGAGGAGGATTTTTGAGCTTTTTGTTTCTGAGCAGACAGCAGATCTGTGTGATTCTTGTGATTATTCATTTTTCAAACGACCAGAAAGTGAGAGTAAAGTTCAGATTGCTGGAGCACAAACAGTGAAAATGGATTCACAATCTGAAGACGATTATATGTGTCCTGTGTGTCGGGATATTTTCATGGACCCTGTTATTTTATCATGTAGTCACAGTTTCTGTAAAGTGTGTCTTCAACAGTTCTGGAAAACTAAGACAATTCAGGAGTGTCCTGTCTGCAGGAGTAGATACTCAAAAACTGAACCTCCATGTAATTTCAAGTTAAAGAACTTGTGCGAGTCGTTCCTGAAAGAGAGAAATGAGAGGCGTTCATCAGGATCTGAGGAGTTCTGCAGTTTACACAGTGAGAAACTCAAACTCTTCTGTCTGGAGGACAAACAGCCGGTGTGTTTAGTGTGCAGAGATTCACAGAAACACATCAATCACACATTCAGACCCATCAGTGAAGTGGTTTCATCATATAAGGTAAGAGAAATGTCTTACCTCTTCTTCCACGTGTAAAAAATAAAGTCATAAACCCAGATATCATCACATTCATGCACTTAATATTTATCTCTGTCATTTTGCTCAACTTTATATCACATACAGTATATGATCATATCACTGTATTCCCTCAGCAGCTGGTGTTTTATATATTTATATTTTGTTCAATTCCAGGAGAAGCTCAATGCAGCACTGAAATCATTACAAGAGAAACTGAATCACAATGAAACAACGAAAGGAGAGTTTGTGAAAAGAGTTCAACACGTTAAGGTGAGGAAACAGAACCCAGAGTAATTTATTTTGACAGACATTCTACTGGCTATGAGTTCCCTTGCAAGTGCATGTCAGATTTTCTGCTTTTTTTAATACTATAATCAGAGTTAGTTGATATATAGATGAAGAGTTACTTAAAGTCAACAGAATGTCTAAAGGGGACCCTCAAATTTAAGTTTACCTCAAGTGACAATCTGGTTCTTAATCTGTCGTGTCATATGTCAGGTAAGTCCACCCATTAACCACATTGACTGTCAAGCCCATTTTCAACTTTTACATTTTTTTTTTTTTAAGAAAGAACATTATTGTTATTCTTTTTAACATTACTAGAAAAAAATATTGATGAATGATCCATTCATTACTTGAGTTTCAGAAGTAAAGTAAGTTTCTTGTCACATAGAAAGATTAATATGGTATACTGCTACAGAATCAAACATATATCATACAAATGCAATCTTTGCTTTTTTGTTCTCATTCATTATGTTTAATGGATAAATAAACCCTAAATTAGTGTATGCAGTAGTGTTAATTTTGTCAGCTATTTTCATTTTAGTCTTAGTCTTAGTCCCGGGCTAAAATGTCCTTGTTAGTTTTTATCATATTTAGTCAACCTTATCCTATTTAGTTTTAGTCAAGTTTTAGTCGACTAAAAGTCTCAACATTTTAGTCTAGTTTTAGTCGAAGAAAATCTAAATTATTTAAGTCTAGTTTTTAGTCCAAGAAAATCTAAAGTATTTTAGTCTAGTTTTAGTCGAAGAAAACCTGAAGTATTTTAGTCTAGTTTTAGTCAATGAAAACTTGACATTTTAGCAATAAGATTATTATTAATTAACCGTACAGCAGTATTAATTTTGGCAGCCATTTTTAATTTAGTCTTACTCAAATGTACATTTTAGTTATCATATTTAGACAAACTTGTCCTGTTTTTGTTTATTCAATTAAATGTATGAGCATTTTAGTCAGGTTTTTTAGTCAATGAAATATTAGTCAAATTTTCGTCATTCTGTATAATGGTTAAACTGATAAAAAATAATTTTTTCTCAAAATTATAATCGTAATGATTGTTGTCATTTGAGAAATGTACTTTTGCATTTTAGGTATTGAACTTTCTCCAGTAAGCACAAATCAATAGAATGTGGACACATACATGGTGTATTTTACGTCATCTAGTGTACTGATTTATTATAGGCTTTTAATTATATAAATCAACACCAAAGACTTATGCAATCTCTATGTCTACATTATGAAAGAGCTAAAACAAACGAAAAATATTATAACAGTGAAATTCCTAGTAATTCCACTAATTCCATAATTGCAATAGTCTATTTCTCTTAAAACAGCAGCGATTGAGTAAGTGTATTTATTCAGCGATCACAATCGCAAACAATAATCGACAGAACACTGACCGGCTGAATGACGCTTTCATTTAGATCGCTAAAAAAATATTATAACAGTGAAATTCCTAGTAATTCCACTAATTCCATAATTGCAATAGTCTATTTCTCTGTTAAAACAACAGCGATTGAATAAGTGTATTTATTCAGCGATCACAATCGCAAACAATAATCGACAGAACACTGACCGGCTGAATGACGCTTTCATTTAGATCGCTAAACTCCAGCTTTTTTCAGATCATCTGCGGCGGCGCTTCTGCAATGAGGAGCGAGCGCGTACGCATGGTTGCCAGATTGCTTAAAGGGGTCCTATTATGCTTTTTCACTTTTTAAATTTTAGTCAGTGTAATGACGCTTTCATTTAGATCGCTAAATTCCAGCTTCTTTGTTTTTCAGATCATCTGCGGCGGCGCTTCTGCAATGAGGAGCGAGCGCGTGCGCATGGTTGCCAGATTGCTTAAAATAAGCAAAACACACCGGCAGAAAATGTATGAATTTAACAGCGAAGCTCTGATTCGGGGATTAGAACTCTTGATATCTGCCAACTGCACTCATGAAAGCTCGCGTAGTAGAGATGTGTAGAGCAGTCTGTAATAACATTTTGTCTCCTTTTTTGACGAAAATAAAAAGAGGTTTTTGGTAAAGTTTTTATCTTTTTGAATACATTTTAGTCTTGTCTTATTTCGTCAACGAAATTGCATGTTGATATAGTCTTAGTTATCGTTTATTGACCTTATTGTCGTCTCGTCTTCGTCTCGTCTTAGTCATGGGAAAAAAGCTCGTCAACGAACATTTTTCGTGATAGTCTTCGTTAACGACTTTAACACTAGTATGCTGTCAGTAGTAATGTTTTCTCTGTCTCTTCTGAAGACTCTATGTGTCATAGAGGTTTATTCAGTGTGCAGGCCAGTTCCTCTTCTAGGGAACTCATGCTGTGTCCTCTAGCTGACACTTAGGGGAATGTTGCCAGCAAGAAAAGTTTCTGAAGCATGTGTGAAAAAACGTCTCAGGTTACTTATGTAACCATGGTTCCCTGAGAAGGGAAAAAGCCACTGAGTCCTCTAGTTCCCTTGCCATGCTTTGGACGTAAGCTTCAGACGAAGAAGCGGATGACATGTTCTCCTGGCGCCCTTTTATACTGTGGTTGCGCCGGGTGATGACGTCACAGGCTGTCGCCGGCCAATGTTATTGTCGTGTTTAGATGTATGCTTCAGACACCGGTCA